AAAAAATGGAGGGTGGGGGGTATGCAGCACTTGAGGGTGGGGGGAATGGAGGGGGGGAGTAAAAAAGAATGGAGGGGGGATTAAAAAGAATGGAGGGGGAGATTAAAAAGAATGGAGGGGGAGATTAAAAAGAATGGAGGGGGGATTTAAAAAGAACGGAGGGGGGATTAAAAAAGAATGGAAGGGGGGGCGGGAGTAAAAAGAATATATCGCAATTGGCCTCCTGTGTGCTAGACCAGCAGGCATGGATTATATGCCCAAACAGCCTGGAACATACCTGGGCTTTAAATGCTATTTCAGATTATCATTATTTAAAGGACTAACCCTTTTTTTTTTATAAACATAGCAGTTTCAGAGAAACTGCTATGTTTACAAATGGGTTAATCCTTCCTCCAATTCCTCTAGTGGATGTCTCATTGACAGCCGCTAGAGGCACTTGCGTGATTCTCACTGTGAAAATCACAGTGAGAGCACACAAACGTCCATAGGAAAGCATTGTAAATGCTTTCCTATGCGACCGGCTGAATGCGCGCGCAGCTCTTGCCGCGCGTGCGCATTCAGCCGAATGGGAGGAACGGAGGAGGATCGGAGGAGGAGAGCTCCCCACCCAGTGCTGGAAAAAGGTAAGTTTTTACCCCTTTCCTCTCCCCAGAGCCGGTCGGGAGGGGTACCCTGAGGGTGGGGGCACCCTCAGGGCACTATAGTGCCAGGAAAACGAGTATGTTTTTCTGGCACTATAGTGGTCCTTTAATGTCTTGCTGTGTACCTCTGTCTGCTCACTGTACATCATGGCTAATTTTTATTTGGTGTGCATTGGAAGAGGGGTAGTCTTATACGGCGAGTATATCCCAAACTCTATATTTTAACTGGAAAAGTTGGGGGTCGTCTTATACACCCAGTCGTCTTATACGCCGGAAAATACAGTAATACCAGGGCTTTGCTGATCTCCTTGATCGCTCTCAGCCAATGAGCTACACTGTTTAGGAACTTCCAACTCTTGTGTCAAGTCGAGGTAGGGAGCAGCTACCAGAGAACACCAGGCAAAAAGTTGAACCGTTGAAAAACAGCTTGGACACCTGGCTCAGCAGTTTGTAAATGATACTCATTCCTTACATATTTCAATTCTTTATTTAATCTACTACACTATGAGATTATTACTTTTGTAGGTCTGTGCCCCATTAGAAGAGTAAATCATTGTGTCCCGGTCACCAATTTTTTTTAACATTTGAATTTTTCTCACTGGAACAGTTTTGTGGAATGACTGGGCACAGGGTGACACATAGCACCACCATATTTTCCATAGAGCCAATAACACTTGTTTTGACTACCAGGAGGGTGCAAGTTAAAACTTTTATAAAAATGCAGATCTCTCTTGAAACTGTTACTTTCCTATAGTAACGGGACTGGAATGTGTTGTTAAAACTCCTCAGGATATTCTCAAACTTGTGCTAGAAAAGTGTCCTATTATAAAGGGTATTATATAAGGGGTACTCCATCTGGTTTTACCCTACAATTATTATTGCTCCTAATGTCATAAACTGCCATTAATAGCCCATTACCTTTAATCCAGCGTTTGGCCAAGATCTCCCAGATCTTCACATTCCATTCCTTTTTTTCTCGTCATGCACGTCATTTTTTCATTCCTTGGTCCAATCAAATGCTTCTCATAGAGAAGTAAGGTTTGACCTTGTGCGCATGTATAGTGATCATCATTAATGCAACAATTAGCTTCTTCTGATATACAAGTGAATCCAAGGTTTCCCTATCAGAAGCAGTGAATGCTACATCGCTCATGTGAGCAGAGAGATAAGCAGAGTGTCAGCTCATCTCGCCACTAAAGCCAACCCAGCTTACAATTCCATACACACCCTCAAAGCAGCACTCTGAACCAAGGAGGGAGTATGCGGTGGACAAATAGAGGTGGCCAAAATAAATATTTAAAGATCGGGCAGGAGACCAAAGAAAAAGCCAAATAAAATGAAACATCTTCACCTTGCAGATGTACACACAGCAGTCTACGAGTGAAGGTGATTGCGTTCACCGTCTGCGCACAAACATGCTAACAGACGTAACAAGAGTTGCTTGTTACGTAAGTCACGTATGACAGGGGTGCAACTAGGTTCAGACACAAAAGTGCAGATTTCTCTGTACTGGCAATGTTTCAGGATAAAATGTTGAACATGCAGATTGCTTGCACCATTAGCACTTCTAAAAGCAAAAGTGGTCATGGAAGTTGGAGTAACCCATTAAATTGGAATGACCAGTGGCGAATTCAAATTAACAAGCAGCAATTTAAGTGTAAACTACATGGAATTAGTGTTTGTTTTAATCAAAACTTACAGGTAAAACAAAGAGGAAGTGACATGATTCTACACAGAACTCTTCCCATAAAACTCAGCCAAACGTTGACACACTTTGGATTTTTCACATTACCACCAACCATTTATAATCCAGGTATTCGATTGTTTACTATATTTCCCCATAAAAAAAGCACTCAACAATGGTCAAAGGTTAGCCATAAGATCTGACACACAGCTATCATAGTATCAGTGTGACAGCCTCACCCACAGCCATTGTATTGTTTAAGGGAAAATAACAGATCTGGGGAGCCAGTCGGTGTTCTGCTTACCAGGGGTATCAGTTTCCTGACCCGATACAGAGGACAAGAGCAGCAGCGAGAGTAACCAGGAGTCCCAGATCCTCAGCGACATTCTAGAGGCGGCCATGCTAACAGGGGAAGGGACGTGGCTGAATGTAGGCGACCAGGATGTAAAACGTCACCACTTGCAATCTCAAACCTTTCACTCCGCGTAATGACTGGCAGGCGGCGAGTCCGCTCCTATTTATCACCTCGGATCCTCCTCCTGGCTGCAATAAACCAATTGAAGGTCACGGTTTTGGCACATCCCTTCACAGGAGTCATCATTGGCACACATAAGGAAACCTATGTAGACATATAGTGACTGCAAGCTTTCAGGGTTATTTCTCTAAACTGCGATCAGACAGGGTGGTACACTAAGCTCCGAATTGTGTTTAATTAAGATATGAATTGTGAAAGGCAGGCTATAATAGCTGATCTGGAACAGCTCTACACCACAGATATAGTCACAGGAGTCGGAGTAAATACGCATCGGCATAGCAAAACTGAGTGAAGAGTAGCCGATGTAGAAAGCCAACTTCCCCAACTCAGCAATAGTCAATGCTGGGCTATTTTAGCTTTAGTTTTGTCATTTGGGTTTTAGATTGACTCAGTTTGGAATTTAGTGACTAACCATGTCTGAGCTGAATCAGGCCTCCCAACTGTTCTGATTTAAAAGGAAAGGTTTAGGGGATACTGTAGTGCCAGGAATACAAAGCTGATATACTGGCACTACTGATCCCTCTGCCAACTCCCTCGTGCCCCCTCCCACCCAGTAAATAAAGAGTTTTAAACCCTTTATTTACTTACCTAATCCCAGCAGTGATGTTCCTCAGTGCTGGGTGGAAGCTCCACCCCCTCCTCCATCCTGTGACAAGCAGGGTCTAATGCGCATGCACGGTAAATGCCGCATGCGCATTAGCCTTCCCCATAGATAAGCATCGAATCAATGCTTTCCTATGGTGAGAAATCGGATGCTGGAGGTCCTCATAAGTCCGTTACGGTTCCTAAAGCCCTCTAGTGGCTGGATTAACCCTCAGTGAAACACAGCAGTTTCTCTGGAACTGCAATGTTTAACATTGCAGCACTAGGTGCAAAAGAGACACAGCACCCAGACCACTTCAATGAGCTGAAGTGGTGTGGGTGCCTACAGTGTCCCTTTAAAATTTAGGGTCTTGTCCCGCCATTCTGGGTTTGTTCCTTGGTGTCCTGGGTTTGGGAACACCAGGGGTTGGTGGAACTAATATGGAGAGGGCCCTGGTGCAAGAAAGTTTTTTGGGCCCCCCTCTAGTGCAAGAATGGCCAAAAAGTTGTACAACTCCAAAGATGCTATACCAGCTGGAGATCATTTGCCTATCCTTGCAGGATTGTATTTGTGAGCAATGTTTGTGCGTTTGCATGTAAGTATGTTTTTGTATAGAGTATGTGTGTGCAGGTAGGGGTGTATTTGTATGCACTGTTGCCGTTGGAATGCAGTGGTATACTTGTGAGTAGTAAAAAAAGAATTAAACATATAATTAATTAATCAGCATTGACACCTTTTGAAAAAAGATAGAGATTTAGTTAATTTAATAACAAATTAACCTGCTATTACGTTCAGAGGAGCCCCTAATTTAAAACGAATGTTAGTTGTGACGGTAGTAGTTAGTATCACCATCTAGTATTCCTTTTCCCAATAGCAGAATAACTCCAATAATCCCAAGAAGAAATATTGCTGTAATCGCCGAATAATCCACACATGAGCCAAGGCTTAATGCTGGAATAAGACTGATTTTACTGGCACACAGGATACACAATTTATGTGATACAAAACTCCTCCTCTGGGCCAGGCTAGATAATTGAGTTTCAACAATACACAAAGCTCAATTATCTGCTGGCCAGAAATATTATACATTTTAACAATTTTCAGAAAAGTACTTTCCATAACACAAACAACTATAATTTTAACATCCCTGGGTAGCTGAGGATACTGGTATTCACATATCCAAATCTCACAAATTTCTGTTCAGTAGTTTCCGTGTCGCATCGTGCAGAAGTTTTGACCGTCTCGCCATGTGGAGGTATCCGAGCTAGAGTTCCATAAAGTCAGTAGCAAGAGCCGGTCTCTGTTCGCGTCCAACTACACAAAAACAACCGTTCGTATGGTACAGCTGGTTACATACGAATGTTCCCCTCGTTCGGTAGATTCTATCTACTGAATGCCAGTTTGATTCATGGAGGGGAACGTATACATCCAGGACTTCCATGGAGACCGGGCGTTCGCATGTTTGCCGTGCCGAAAATAGTTCCAGGCAATTCATGCGTAAGCTGACCACATTTGTGAGTTTTAAGATGGCCGCCATCATTTGTTCTCGCCACGTGTTCGTATGCCGAATGGCGGCCACCTAGGAGCAATTAAGTTGCGGTTTTCTTCACATTCTAAAGCTGATTGCTACCCAGGGTGGGTGGTCTCTTGTTTCGTTAGACAAATACAATTTTAAGACATACTTAAAACAACATTTCATAAGTATTTGCACAGCAGGGAGAAGCTATAACTGAAGGCATACATGTAAGTACAGGAAATCCTTCACATTGGCCCCCCTTTTACTCCCTGCTCCGGCAGACATGGCTGGACCTCTCCTGGTCCAGTAGGGCTGGAAGGAAGTCCAATAGTTATTCTGATAGTAGGTCAGTTTGACGTGACAGTCCGTCCGCATTCCCGTTTTGCTTGCCGGGGCGGTAGTGGATAGTGAAGTCGTATGGCTGAAGGGCCAAACTCCAGCGCAATAAACGGGCATTGTCCCCAGAGACCTGGTTTAGCCAAACCAAAGGATTGTGGTCAGTAATGAGAGTTAGGGAGTGAGTTTTTTGAGTGCCCAGACCAATGCCAAGCACTCTTTTTCAATAGCTACATAACTCTTGGTAGCAGCTTCCGGCTCAGGTAGGCTACCGGGTGCTCCCCACTGTCCTCTCCGATCTGACTTAGTACTGCCCCCAGTCCAAACATTGAGGCATCTGTGTGGACAATAAACCTTTTGTTAGGATCTGGGGCAGCCAACACAGGAGCATTACTCAGAGCTTTTTTCAACGCTTGGAAAGCCACCTCACACTCCGGGGACCACAGGACTTGTCAGGGTAATTTCTTTTTGGTTAGGTCAGTCAGGGGTTTGGGTAGAGTGCTATAGTCTGGCACAAAGCGTCTGTAATAGCCGGCTGTCCCCAGGAAGGCCATGACTTTGGTCTTGGTAAGGGGAGTGGGCCAATTGGCAACAGCCTCAATCTTAGCAGGCTCTGGCCGTTGCTTACCACATCCAACCCGGTGGCCCAAATATTGTACCTCCGCCATACCCAAGTGACACTTGTCTGGCTTCAAGGTTAGGCCGGCCCCCCTAATCCTGTCTAACACTGACCCTACGTGCTCTGGATGTGCCTCACAGGTATCGCTATAGATGGCGATATCGTCCAGGTAGGCACATGCATAGTCCTGGAGACCCTCTAGTAAACGGTCCACCATCCGTTGGAAGGTGGCCGGAGCATTCTTCATCCCGAACAGCATAACTCGGAACTGGTAGAGGCCGAACGCGGTGATGAACACTGATTTGGGGACCGCATCCTCCGCGAGGGGAATCTGCCAGTATCCCTTACATAAGTCTATCATGGTCAGATACCTCCCCTTGGAGATGCGGTCGAGCAGTTCGTCCATCCGGGGCATGGGATAGGCGTCTGTGACTGATTTGTCATTGAGCCGCCTGTAGTCTACACAGAAGCGGGTTGTGCCATCCCGCTTCGGTACTAGAACCACAGGTGAAGCCCAAGGACTCTCAGAATGCTCTATTACCCCCAGCCGGAGCATTTCCTCTATTTCTTTACGCATCCCGGCTCTAACAGCCTCGGGGATGCAGTATGAGGGTTGCCTTAAGGGCGCCTGCCCTGGGGTTTCCACTTTGTGGACGGCCAGTTGGGTATACCCGGGTTCCTGGGAAAACGTGGCGTGTTTGGCCTCCAGTAAGCGCGTAGCTTGAGCCCTCTCTTGGGGTGCTAGCTGTTCCCCTAACTGGACCAATTCTATGGTCCTCGTCTCCCAGCTACCCCCTAATAGGTCCGGTAAAGTCAACGCTTCTGTGTCCTCGCCGGCGGGGGCACAGATAGCAGTGACCTCTCGTTGTAGGCTTTGAGCATGTTGGGCCGCCTGGAGGTTTTCCTGCACGGCCTGAGCCAGTTCCTCCATGCGGTCCCATAGCTCCAGCACATATTGTACAATCGGGGTCCCTTCTATCTCTGTGTGGCCCTCCCAGTGATCTTTAATGAGGTCTAGTGGCCCTCTCACCCGTCTCCCGTACAGGAGTTCAAAGGGCGAAAAACTGGTAGATTCCTGGGGCACCTCCCGGTATGCGAATAGGAGATGTGTCAGGAACCGCTCCCAGTCTCGGTAGGCTCCCGTGAACGTCTTCAACATTTGCTTCAGGGTCCTGTTGAAGCGCTCACAGAGCCTGTTAGTCTGGGGGTGGTATGGGGAGCTGGTCAGGGGTTTAACCCCGCAGACCTTCCATAACTGCTGGGTTACTTTGGCAGTGAACTGGGTGCCCTGGTCTGATAGAATCTCTTTGGGAAATCCCACTCGAGAGAATATCTTGACCAGAGCATCCGCCACCGTCTCAGCCTGGATATTCGAAAGGGCTACTGCCTCCGGATAGCGGGTGGCGTAGTCCACTATGGTAAGGATATATCGCTTACCGGAGTGACTGGGCTTAGCCTAGGGTCCTACTATGTCTACTGAGACCCTCGTAAAGGGTTCCTCTATTATCGGTAGGAGGACTAATTTAGCTTTCGGGTGGTATCCCCTTTTACCCACCCTCTGACATATCTCACACGTCTGGCAATACGCTCGGACGTCGTCAGATACCCCAGGCCAGAAGAAGTTCTGGGTTATCCAATGTAACGTCCTACGTATCCCTAGGTGTCCGGCTAGCGGGACATCATGCCCAACTCGTAACAACTCCTGCCGGTATTTCCTTGGGATAACCAGCTGGCGTTGTTGGTGGGGCCCGGGGACATTAACTCGGGTCTCGGTAAGTCGGTATAAGCGGCCTTTCTCCCATACTAGCTGCTCCTTCTCCAACCCCCCAGGCCCTCCTTTAGCCCTTTCCCTGTACTGACTGAGAGTGGGGTCCCCCTCTACTTCTTTCTAAAACTCTTATGGGTTATCCCAGGGAAGGGGATCTGGGGTCAGGGGTAAAGTCAGTTGGCTTACCTGGGTCTCAGTTGATAGTGGGTGGCTCTCGGCAGCATGACTCTGGGATCGGGTGGTCACTGCTTGTACTTTGTTTGGGGTAGCGGCTGCAAAAGCTGAAGTCAAAGGGCCAATATCATTGCCCAGAACTACCTCGGCAGGCAACTCTTTCATTACTCCAACCTGCATGTTTCCCGCTCCAGCACCCCAGTCCAGATGTACCCTGGAGGTAGGAATTCGGTACACTGCCCCCCCCGCCACTCGCACAGCAATAGATTTCCCTAGTCTTTCCGCATTATCAATAAGATGCCGTTGTACCAGGGTTATGGTAGCGCCACTGTCTCGAAGTCCCCTGGTGGTCTTCCCATTAACCATCACCAGCTGGCAATGATGTTTCCTGTTGTCATCGATGGTGGATTGAACTATAAGGGCTTCATACAGGGTGCCCAGGGGTTCCTCCCGACTCATCTCCTAGGCCTCCCAAGCCGAGGGGACCTGGTAGTCTATACAGTGGACTGTGGCCCGGGGTTGAGGGAATCCTGGTCGGGTCCAGTTGGGCCTGGGAGGTTCCAGGGGACAGTTATTGCGGAGATGCCCCAGCTTGTTACAACGGAAGCAGCGGG